TACTTTGTGGAGCAGAGAGAATGTTGAGAGACTTGGGGAAAAATCCTGATAAGAATGGAGGGGAGCGTGCAAATGAAGTGGACTTCTTCCTTATTTATAACCCTAACACAGGAAGCAAGACATCAATAGGCACTCAATTACCCCTACTTGTAGCCACCATAGGCATTTATTACTCTTGACATGTGGCCCTAAAAGACACCACGCGTGTCCCTTCAAATCTTTCTCCTGTTTGAGACCAGACGTGCCCGTTCCCTTTTGCTTTTGCCACATCATTGGCCATATTGCCCGACATTACATCGTCGGAAACACTTCCCTAGGGGAAGCAGGGAAAGAGTCGGGGCTACATCCGAAGGACAGGTCCCCCTGCAAGCTCTTGTCCTGTCGAGCAGCTCCTACTCCTGGCAACACGCTTCATCCCTCGAGCTCAATGTTTTAAGCATGCACGACGCTTCTTCAGGCATGTTCTCGACGCTAGAACTGACTCTAAGTCATTACCTCTCTGCTTCAGAGCAATGACTTGGGGGGGCTCATGTTCTGGACTAGGCCAGAGGCTGCCTCATTGACGGGTATGACCCAACCCATTTCTTCATCGGATAGGGCCCAATGAGGATCCAGTTTATCATATCACACGGGAACACTCACGCGTCTTTCCCACGGACTCCACGTGCCCCCGCACAGGAGCACGTCATCAGGAAATTGCCCACCTTCCGAAGATCACGGGGTAGTTGACCCAAGGCGAATACCACGTGTTGGTCTTCCCTACGCCACGTAAGCCCTGACAGTTATTCGTATTGATCCTAGCGATCCAACTCAATGCAAAATAACGGTTGGCCCCGCGCCGGGAGCATATTATAAATACCCTCTTTCACTAGAGGGTCAGGTATTCCATTCACAATTAGATTTTCTATACTTACTTTCTCTTACTCTGTTTCTTACTTTGACATCAGAATATCTTGCAGGTACACCCCCTCCTCTTCTCTATCACCGACAAATTCAGGAACTCACGACATGTTGCTGGGCGCTGATGCTTTTCTGATCTGGTAAAATCAACAACCATATTGTAAAATGTGGATCTGACAGACATAGCTTGTTAGCTTGTTAGCAGACTATTTGTGTGCTACTTACAATTTGATATTATATCTCCATATTAGTGTAATGCTTGTATATGTATAGTCTTTGCCAATTAGAAAAAAAATGACATGTTAGAATTAATTGAATTATTTTTTAGAACTACTAAACAAGACACGACTAGGATAAATTAAAAGAAATATATATATATATATATATATATATATATATATATATATATATATATATATATATATATATATATATATATATATATATATATATATATATATATATATATATATATATATATATATATATATATATATATATATATATATATATATATATATATATATATATATATATATATATATATATATATATATATATATATATATATATATATATATATATATATATATATATATATATATATATATATATATATATATATATATTTGCATTATAATCAACCAAATGAGTGCCATATCCTAAAATGTGGACTTACAAATTATTGGTATAAATTTCTCGTGACATTATATTGAGTGTTTCACAAACATACCAAAATATCTCAATTGTATCTTAGAATAAATTAAAATATTAGATATTTGAAAATGTCTTAGTTAGTATTAATTTTTAAGAAAATGGTTCTTTTGCGGACTATTTGGTGATTATTTTGGTGATTATTTTAGTGATTAATTTGGTAATTATTTTAGTGATTAATTTTGGTGATAATTTTGGTAATTATTTGGTGATTAATTTGGTGATTATTTGGGTGGATAATGTGGTGGTTATTTTAGTGATAATACATGTCATAATGAGTTCATGCATCATGATGTACAAACTTCGGTCCAGTTTTGGTGAGCCTTGATCCTATGGTGGAGATCGTGTGTAAGTAGTTGGTTCTAGTGGGAATTAGTGAAGCGTTATCTATGGTGATGGTAGGCATGAAAATATAACCTGTACCCACGGGTGTCCACCCGAATCTGTCCCGAAATTGACGGAGAAAATCCGCTTTGATTGAGTTTGAGTTCGAGTTTGAGTTTTTCTCGATTATAAAATATAGAGATGGGTCAAGTAATGGGGACACTAGTACCCACCATGAACTTGTCCTATTAACTTTTTATGTAGATTATTATTTAGTTTTGATAATTTGAAATATTAAATATGTGGCTAATATTTTGATATTTTGATTTGTATTTAATATTTAAAACATTTGCAATGTATGTATGAAAATTTTTTAGATTATTTTATTTTATTATTTGTAATGTAATTTGATATTGAAAAAAATAATTTTTCTATTAAAAAAGTTGATTTCACTAAATGGATGGTGGCAGGGAGGGAATACCCGAACCCATTTGGGATGAGTTTGAATTTTAATTCTCCGTCCCCGTTTGGGTTTGGGGCGGGGAACGAGGATTGTGTAGGGATTTGGGTTTGGGTTTGAGGGAGGTAAAAACCGCCCCGACCCGCCCCGCTGTCATGCCTAGGTGATGGTAACAATTTTGGTGTGATTTGGTTCCAAGAGGGAATCTGGTCCTATGATGGAGATCGTGGAGCGAAAATGTACCATGAGTGTTCATACATGGTACCGCATGCATAATGAGTTGGTTGTGGAGTGCATTGCATACATGCTTATATATGATGTTGATTATTTCTGGTGTAGTTATTGGGTTGAGATGTGTATGTTATGTTGAATGGGTGGGAGAATATGTGGTTGTTGATTGTGTAATGAATATATGTTTGTTGTATGTTTCTCTACCTTAGCATTCTTTACACTGTTTATATTGAATATTGTTTCTCACCCCCTTGTTGAATGTTGTCCACCATGAACATCTTGTAGATACTCAGAAGTAGCATTGGCTAAAGTAAGTGGAAGATAAATTTTTGAGTGACTTTCATTAGTTTATCGTTTTATTAGTAGGGTTTTACTCTGATCATGTAACACCGGTCTGGGAGCATTCATTTTCATTTGCTTGACTTGTTTTGTTGAAGTTACTAATCATATTTTGTTGAGTTTTTAAAGTGTTGAAAGTTGGATAATACAATTCATTTGCTTATGTTATGAAAGTTGAAGTTATGAGACTAAATGCTATGAATGCGATATGGTTTTTAATTACTTTATTTGTGATTTCGTTGCATTGATGCCAGACGAATTGGATGTCGTGTAAACATCCCAAGTACAAATCAGATGAATTGATGTCGTGTAAACATCCCAAGCGCAAATGTATGTATTAAAATTTTTGTCGTTGTAACCCGTGGTATGGAGCAGGTCATGTTTGATGTGTGTGACACTCTAAGTGGTTCTATTTTGTTAATTAAATTCTTTGATAATTATGTTCAAAATTTAAGGTGTTACAGTGACTACAATAGGTTTCTACAATTGTGGTGATATGTTACGCGCTACTGTATTTTTACCACGACTACCAACCTATGGTGGTAAATAGGACACATACTATCACAATCTTCGTTACTATAAACCACCACCTGTAGTGGAATCCATCTCCCCAATTGTGATAAAATGTTCTTTTTGTAGTAATGAGGGTTGAGATTTACTTCTAACATGATTGATGAAGCTAAAAAGATCGTCCATATGCTAGAGTTCACACCAAAACAAAAAGGTACTAGGCAATACCATTTTGAGGTCATCCCAAAAGAGATGAATGACAACAATATTCTGTTTAAGAGTAAGATTTACTTAGACACAATCACAATTTAAATGATTTCAACACTCACACACAAATAAAATAAATTAAAAGAGAAGTAATTTAGTCAAATTATTCCTCATTATTTTTTATCTTTTTCATTTTAGTTTATTTATATCACGTATATGCGCCTAAATAATATTTATTTGGAGTTGTGCAAAGTAAGTATTTTTCTCTGTTTAAACAAGTTGTGACGTGATCGAAAATTGGAAAACGTTTGTCAAAAACTTTAACCATTTATAATAATATTGAGTAATTTATTAAAAAAAATTGAATTAATTCATATGAAACCATACTCTAAAAATAATTACAAAATTGATCATATATTAAATGTAACATTTGAATTTGTATATGCCTAGAATTTTACTTTATTCCTTACTTTGAATTTTACAAAATTTATTTTCTCTATTTTTGTTCCCCATGTTCACCAACTAACTATTGCACATGTTCACCAACTATTCATATACACCTATTTATATTTCTTCACTAACTATCTATCCATAATTTTTTTTTAAATAACATTTTATATTTTTCATATCATGATTTTTTTCACTAATAAAACAAACTTGTAAATATTTTTGACAAGTTGTTAAACAATAGTGACTTGTGAGCAAGACCAAAGGGATTCAAAATGCACACAAAAACACCAATGAAGCAACATGCACGTGAAGCTAAGTTGTCACTGAAATTTCACCACAAAACATCATCACACACATAAAATGGACCACGAAAAAGATAGACATAGAGAGAACAAGAAAATGACACATTCATCATAGATTCATAGTCCTTCTCTTCATCATAATTGCATTAACTTCTCTTCATCATAATTTTTAATGTATTTTGATTTGATGAGTTTTTAAAATAAAGAGTCTCTAAATTTTTGTTTATAAAAAAATATTTTAAAAAATAGGTCAGATAAATTCAGAAATATCGACTATTCTATTTATAAGAAGCTGACTCATATATTAGAAAAGTGTGAGTTCAACTCTAATGATTAACGTTACCTAAATATTTCATTAGTGAAAAATCTATAAATAATCGTCTATAAACTTTGAGATTTGTCTTTCCTCTAATAAGTTCGAGAAAGTAAATTTTAGTTTATGAAGAAAAAAAAAGGATTTCAAATAATATAGCTCAAATGAAAGTGAAATTGAAGAATCTCAAAAGCCATCATCATTCATTCAAACGTACATGCAACCCTTTTAATCATCACTTTTTTTTTCTTTAGCAACCCTTTGAAGTGATAAGTGAAAAAGATGTTGTTCTTTCTTTATCATCTTTATTACTTTCTCTATGTCTTTTCTTTTTCATCATCATCCATGAAAAGCATCCTACTTGCTTGCAAAGTTGCTTCTCTTGTTTCTTTCTCCACTCATTCTTTTCACTTGTTGTCTCCCATGTTTCATAATTATCTTTCACCTCAACCTGCACATGCATCAATATCATGTCATGCTTAATTGGTGTGATGTGTTTGGAAATTAATCATCCAAAAAAGTTTCTATAATTGGTAACACTTATCACTTATTTTGTGGTAAAAAAAATGTGAATGTCATAATACTTTTATCTTATAGGAAAAAAAAAAGTGATCCTAATGAAGGAATAGTGCACAATAGTATGTGATAGTAAGTATATAGGCACTTTGTATAGTACCTTAGTCAGATGATAAAATGATGTACTTTGATTTTAGAATCTTTAGTGGCTTCAAATGAGACAAAGGGAAGAGGTAGGTTGAGAAAGAAGAGTACTATTTAATTACTATTGTGTTTGAATCATTGAAGAGGGAGAAAGGTTTGGATTGAGTTGAATTTTGGAACAAAGAAGTGTCACATATACTCTACTATAGATAGATAAATGTTAAAACAAAGTTCGCAAATTTTATATGAACCACCAGAAGAAGTTGATATTATTAGGTTGAACGATACTGTCATGGTTTGAACCGTGATATTCATGGATGTGTATGTGAGTTTTTAATAGTTATTATCATTTCATCTCTAGACAACAAAAAAATAGTTTTAAACCCTAACAACGAAAGATGTTGTTCTCGTAGTATTACTTTTTCTTATCACTGAGAGAATAACACAATCAATGTTGATTTAAGAGGGAGGAAAATATCAGTATTTCAAAACTCAACATTGATTAGGTTATTATTTCAGGTTGTTTCTGGTGTTTAGACGATGACAATCTTAAATTTTTGCATAAAGTTGACAACGTCAGTCATTATTGAACGGTTTTTAAACGTTGGTACATAATAGACCATGTGACACTTTCTCACCCTAGCAATTATCTAAAGTTGAAGAGTTAATCTTGGGAGATGATTGATTCCTAAAAACATAGACAGGTGCAATTTGTAGGAGAAAGTATAGAGGGGCCAAAAACTATAGAAGGAGAATGATACTTCCACATGAAACAAAGAGAGGGACAAGGTTGGAATCTATGAATGTCCCACCTTATAATGTTACAATCTTAATTATATGACAATTAGATTTGATTCTTTTGTCTTGGAAAACACACCATTAACTAGTGGTAACTACTTCCTCTATTTTTTTCACTTAGTTTGAAAAAACAATTTAAGTACTTTGTTTTTAAAGACACTGCCATTTCTTGTGTCCTATTGTCCTAGTGTTTCCTCTTCACTTAATCAAACTTAAAAAATAAGTTTAAAAAAAATTCTAGATTTTGTTTCTTACCTCTTCTTCTGATTTTGTTTTAGCATTTGAATTTGAATTAGGTGAATCTACATCTCTAGTTTTTGACCTCTCTATGATAGATGGTGTTGAAGTAGGGCTAGGACTACTTGAACTTAGATAAGGAGGTGTGCTTTGAGTCCCCACATCTCTTGTCATTCCATCTTTCTTCTTTTCTGCATACACACACACAATCACCTTAATTAAGTGCTTATTTTATAATCACTTAAGCATAAAAAAAATTGATAAAGTCAAATCATTTTCATCTAAGTTATAAGTTATGAAAAAGTTGTTTTATACAGTATAACATGTAAAACAGACTACTGCGTAGTGTCTAAAATATATCAGAATCAAATAATTTGTTTCTATAAGTACGATGAGAATATGTAAGATGAATTACTGCACAAAACAAATGATTAAATAAGGCAAATTAGAGTAATCACTAAAAGTATTGAACCTGGAATTGGAAATTGAAGAGAAACATCATCATCACCATCATCATGTGTGTAAATGGATGGTTTCATTTGAACATGTCTTGAAGAATAAACAAGAGGAGCAGACATTGTGATTCTGTTTGTTGAGTTTCTAAACGATCTTCCACTAAGAGTTTTTGCTGATAAACATTCCATTGGCACCTCTCCTGAAAGTGGATTGCATATATACTTTTCTGCTTCATTCCATTTTGAATTCAAAGCAAACCCTTCTGGTGATAAACACTCCCAACTGTTATAGCTTACCCTTGCTTGCAATGCTACATCAATCAAATCACCATTCAAAAAATTTAGACAAAAAAAAATCATAAAAATATGTTATGTTATCTTAGTTATGGTCTTAATTTGCGGTCAAAATTTAAAACCATTATAATTGACAACGCGGTCATTTACCTTTAAGAGCCGTGGTGAAAGAATATGTCGTCGGATCAATTTCATCTGACAAAATATGTCAAAATTCACATTATGAATAAGAATTGAAGTTTTAGAACACTCTGATACGCTACGCACCAACCACTTGCGCTAGACTCAGATGATACAAAGTTCATGAAATATATAATTGAGAAAGATATATGTACCTTTAAAAGGGTAACCAGGTGAAGAAGTAGTACTAGAAATAGTTATATTTGATCTATGAGACCTTGAATCTTCTCTAAAGCTTCTCATATAAGAACCCGAAAACCTTCTAGAATTGGTATTGTTATTGTCTCTACTGACTCTACCTTTCACTGGCCATTCTCTCAGATTGAAATCTGATTCATCTCTTCTCCTTGAAGTATAGGGATATGGCTCAGCATTGTAGGCCATGAAAATGAGTGAGAATGTTGCAGAGGTTTGAAAGTAGTCTTGGAGGTGCAAATAGTAAAAAAGGTTTTCTTTTTGGTTTTTTTGAATGTTCAAAATGAAATGACATGTTTTTGAATCAAAATGTGTTTATATATTGAAAGAATCTTGTTTCTTTTTTTGGAATTTGCATTAAATTCATTGGACTACCTTTGTAAATTTCTCTTATTGTTTGACCCCTAATGTCATAGACTTATAGGTTAGTTTTAATCTTCATTATATTATGAGACACCAATTATTAGTTCATCATATTTTAGTTCTAGAGTAAATAATAATTTTTAATTAATGTTCATTTAAAATTTTCCATAGTACAAATTAACAAATATAGTAAAATTATTTAAATACATAACACTTTTTTAATTAATATATTCACTAATCATATATTCACACCAGCGTTCTCGATTTTCTAATCAAAATTAGTGACTGATTAAGATTTAGACTGTAATTTATAATCATCAATTATTATATTTACGCAAGCGTCCTCGGTCATTTGATCAGAATCGAACTGCTCTTATTAAAATTAATATTTTTTTTGAATTATTAAATAAAAAATACTTTTTTTGGACTATGTGATTTAAATTAAACGATTAATTGTGTGAATGCGTCAAAAATTTAATAGAAGAAGATTCATTTTCTTAAAATAGTACGTTAAAATTGATGCATCATAATTAAAATTTAAATATGTTTATAGTAGATTAATCGTAAATTATCTGCAAAACTTAATTTAATTGACAAAAATCGATATTATTAGGTAGGACGTCATCATCAGAATTTGAATTCTGACTCTCATGATTATGTGTTTAAATTTCTAGTAGTTTGTCCACTTCATCTAAAAAATTTTAAAAAAATTATATTTAACATTGAAAATTATATTTAAAAGTTAAAATTCTAAATTTCAATTTTAAATTTAAATTTATTTTCAGCATATAATCAAATGTTTCAAAATCAATATTTCTACTAACAATTTTTCTTCCTACAAAATGAATCCAAAGATACACTAAACTTATGTTTTCATGTTCTTACTCAATGAAGTTTCATAAGTTCCATAAAATTAAGATGGTTTAATTCATAACATAAAGTCATTGATATCACTATCCATCCAGCACACACTAATTTTCATTTGAGACAATTTTCAAACCTTACAAAAAGATTGTTAGACATGTATCTCAAACTGAATATTTGCAGTCTTCATGTTGGACAGTGACTCTTCATGTAAACTTGTGTTTTCATAACATATAATTTTATTTGATTTATTCTTTGTTATTAAAAAAAATTAATATTAAAATATTAAGATAATAATAATTTATTTATTGCATCCACCATAATTGAATTGCATTCAATTTAAGTGGTTATAGTGGATAGAATTTTAGATGAGTATTTTAATTGATTTTATATAAGAGCTACATTTTTTAATGTTGTTGGGTGCATAAATTGATTAATAATAATATAAATAATTAAAGTTGGTAAGAATTAAATAATATAAATTTAATTCATTACAACAACTTTTTATTTATATTACCTTACAATACATTATGAGATGAATAAAAATTATTTATACATAGTCACCAAAAAATTAAATTGACTATACAATATTTGTGGACAAACATTGATGAGTGTACATTTCTTGTAGTTTTGCATATATTAAAACAAACATTAGCTTAAATGTGCACCACTTATTTTAAATGATGTTACACCATACTCACCAAATTATTGATTTCTGTTTGATAAGACATGAAAATCTTAATGTTTGATATCCTGTTTGGGAAACATTTTCTTTGAGCTTTAGTTAGGTGTGTTTTGTGTTGGGTTTTTGGGTGGAGAAGTGAATCATAGGGTTTATATTAGTTTAATTTTTTTAAATCTTTCGAAATCGAAATAGTGACTGTATCGCGTCGGTTAGAAAACAAGAAAAACGAATATTAGTGTAACAAAACTTTTTTTTGCTAACAAATATTAAGTGGTCCGGTCTGTAAATTCTAACTCAACTGACAGAAGTCAATATTATTAGGTTGGACGTCATTATCAGGATTCGAACTCTGATATACACAGTTGTTTGCATGAATTTTTAATGATCATTGTCATTTTGTCTAGAAAAAAACTTAGTGTAATTTTGTTAGATTTAGATTTTAAAATTCAAAGAGTAGAAAAGAAGTTGAAGTTTCCCTCCTATGACAAGTCCAAATAAGAGGTCTATTTTGATCTGGTTGTAACCTAGTGAAAGCCCAATGGGGGTGAAACCCTTCTGATTAGCACTGTTATTTTACATCATGTTCCATGTTGAGAATAATGAGATACTGTCTGTTGGGTTGTTTTCAGTGTAGATGAAAAGTGTGAGGGAATAGTTAAGGCTGTAAAAAGTGAGAATGTCTTTGTGTGCAATGTTACATTCTTGTCTAAAATACAGTGAAAAATGAGTGAGGTACTCTTACATTGTTGAACAAGGTTGGTCCACAATAGACCTCATCATGGCCGTCAGTTTTGTCTCATATGTATGCAAGGTAGGTATCAAGAAAGAGAGAGAGAGAGATTCCGTTTGTTGCCAGTTCTTGGGTCCATTTTGTTTACAAACTTTTTTCTTCTTTTAAAATTATATATAATTCAGCAAAGATAATCTTGACGAGTCTCAGTAACATGTCAAAATCGTTATAATTTTGATGAGTCTGAGTCTCTCAATAACATGTCAGAATCGTTATAATAATATTTTCAAAATATACGCAGGTGAAATCTGATTCCTCCTATCCTCGTGAGTGTGTGTATTGTCCCTGCAAATTACTTAACAGAGACTTGTCTTACATTCACAAATGACCATTCATGTTTACTGGTTTATTATTCTCTTCTGCTCAATCTAGATACAATGTTCTGCATGTTATAACTAAGGGGAGTGCAGTAAGTTATGATTGATGTGGTAAAAAATAGAAAGAATTGAGACATGAAGTTGATGGAATCATGATGAGCACCATCATTTTGATGAACTCGTTGCCAATCCAAACTCGATAATTCATTTCTACCACTTGAATTTAAAACTCAAGCTTCAAAATGGATAAGAAACATGTTATATAACTAACAACCTTATGTTCACATTCAACAACTAGTAGTACATATCAAAAGTAGCTTCAAAAGAGGCAAGGTCAGGGAAGGATACACCACAGATAATGTCACAAACAAATTACAAATTATTTTGAGTTGAAGTATATTGCACTTTAAACTTTTGAATCAAAAGACATCACTATGAAACGGATTTGTTGAAATGGATAGAAACAACATCAACAATTCTAGCAATGATACACATGTTTATTTAGTCGTAAAAGTTGAAACACACATTCCTGTATATTACTGGTAAATTTGAAACTGAAGTCTCACAAAAAGCATTGGCAGCATTTCCCGGAACATATAATTACACTCAGTTGTACATTTGAAGATGAAGCGATGCAAAATCTGGCATCTGCAGGTGGAACAATCATCTTTATCAGCAAAATACAGGAGAGACAAGTGTATAATAAAGATATGTAATTGGAAATTGTCGCCATAAAACTGTTCTCACAAGAGGAAGCTTAATCATCAACTTCAGCTTTAATCTCCTTCAGCAAATCTTCTTTGTACTCGTCAAATGTTCCAGGGAATTTTCTGACAGTACCATCCTCGACAACCCATATTTGACTCCTTTCTTCATCATCACAAACACGTGATATCAATCTAGAATCGTGACTAACAAGAACAACTCCGCCTGTGAATTCATCAAGGGCATCGGCCAATGCATCAATACTTTGCATATCCAGATGATTTGTGGGTTCATCTAACAATAAAATGTGAGGTCTTGACATGGATATCGACGTGAAAACAACTCGAGCTTTCTGCCCTCCTGATAGTTTGACAATGGGTGTAAGATGGTTATGACTAGGTAGCCCAAATTTCCCAAGTTTTGCCCGGACAGCCTCCTGCTTACTAAGTCCCTCCTGGTCTGGGTGGAGACGAAGAAGGTACTGAACAGGTGTTTCGTCCATCGTCAGTAGGTCCACAAAATGTTGGGAATATCTCCCAATCCTTAACTTCTGACTCCTTCGAACTTCACCTTCACCTTCACTTGGATCCAAATCACCGGCTAAAAGATTTAGCAGTGTAGATTTTCCAGCTCCATTAGGCCCAACAATGGCAACTCGGGTCCCCATATCAATGCCAACATCAACATTTGAGAGTCTGAAATCCTCTCGGTTTGGGTAGCTGAAGCTCACTTCAATAAGCTGCAGAAGAGGAGGTGTGAGCTCAGTAGGTTCAGGAAAGTGGAACTCCACACTGTAGTCCCTCCACTTGTGTGGTGCCTCTACCTGGGTCTCATCCTCGTCAACCTTTCCCTTACTTTTGCTTTTCGATGCTTGCTTGGCAGCTGCAAACTTAGCTCGATCCTTGACCTTATCTTGTTGAGCCTTGTTTCCAGTCCTTTTAGCTGCTTTCAATTGCTTGTCATAAATCTCATACTTCTTATTCACCTCTCTACGACGCTGCTCATACCCACTTTCAAAAGCTTCAAAATTTCCACGATAGAAATGAAGTTTGAAATCATGCAGGTGAATAATTTCAGAGCTTACAGTATTGAGGAAATCTCTGTCGTGTGATACAACCACCAAAGTTTTCTTCCAACGACACAAGTACTCTTCCAACCAGAGAACAGCCCTCAGGTCAAGATGATTAGTGGGTTCATCGAGCAATAATAAAGTGGGTTGTACGAAAAGTGCTCGAGCTAAAGAAATTCTCATCCTCCAGCCACCACTAAAGGATTTTGTAGGACGGCCCTGCATATCCTTAGTAAAACCCAGACCGGCTAAAATCTTTGACGCTTGGGATTCAGCAGCATCAGACCCCATCAGTTGTAATTGATCATATAGCTCTGCTAGCTTGTCCCCTGCATCCCCATCCTCGTTAGTAACATCTTTATCCACACCTTCTTCACCAGAAGCCGCATTCTGCAGATCAGCAACTTCTTGTCGAACTTTAACAAGTTCAGCATTAGCTGAAACGACTGCTTCAAGCGCTGTTTTATCATCACCAACTACCTCCTGCTCAACCAGAAGAACATCAATATTCTTAGGTACGGGTATCTTCCTCCAAGCAAGAAGCTTCAAAAGTGTTGACTTGCCCATTCCATTCGGCCCAACTAAACCATACCGCTTTCCATGAGATATCTTCACCGATGCATTCTTCAGAAGTTCTTTACCCCGAGCAGACACTGAAAAATTTTCTATCGTAATATCTTTGACATTAGCATCAGCACCGTCATCTCCATCAAGCACTGAAGCCCGACTTCCAATGACAACAGTGAAAGCATCATGATCATCCCTAAGAGCTTCTTTCCTTGCCTGTTCGGCCAGATGGGCAGCTAAAATATCTTTCTTTTCACGCTTTTTCAACTCCTTTTCAGCAATAGACACCTCAAGTGGCTTCACATCAGGTCTATGCTTTTGCTCTAACTCCTCTTCGGATTCATCATCAGAGGGAGGAAGATCAATACCATCAGTGTATGTAGAAGCTTTTGGAGCAGGTTTTGGCTTCTGCTTATTTGAGGAAGATGCTTTTTTAGGTTTATCGGGTTTTTCATCCATACTTGCCAACATGGCAGAGACAGACATTTTTTCCCTCTTAGGAACATCTTTACTACTTGCTTTAGCCTTTGTAGATGTGCCCGCATCATCTGTCTTTTTCTTACCCAT